CTGTGAAGATCTAGTTTCTCCCTGAAAGCGTTAACCGAAGATGTTGATACTACTTGTTGAGGTAAGGAGTTCCAGTAGAGGACCACAGGACGGGAAAAACGCAGATTCACGCTAAGTTGGTTTGACCGTGGTCTTTGGATTTTCTTGCGATGCTCTTAGAGATAATCAATCCTTGCAATAGAGATAAGATAAGGCATATTAGTACCGAAGTCATTATTAAAGATACGAATTGTCAGTGTGAGACCACCCTATTTTCTGTGGTAAGAGTGGGAATAAGCGGATCTAGTTGTTTCTTACAGGGTAGATTCGAAAGGTCTACCACAAGCTTAGTAACCACACTGAATACCCTCGAGTATGTCCGCATCCCTTTCTAGGCATGGGCTGAGCTGAATGCAGTATTCCAAGTGAGATCCAACGTAAGTAAATTAGAGAAGTCTGAACATATCCTGATCAAAACTTTTGAAAGCTCTGCGGATGGACCACAACAAAAAGGAAGCTCTTTGCTGCAGCCCCATTACAGTGTGCAGAAGTTTTTATATTACGGATTATGACACATAAGTCTTTCACTTCAAAGACTAGGAGTAGTAGTGTATCATCAGTGTAATGTCAGAAACAACTGCCATAACCAATGTACAATACTGCACTTGATCTCCAGGCACCAACGTTTGGACCGATCTACTAGTTCATCCAAATCCGCTTGAAGTGTATATCTAGCAGCATCACTACGTATGGCTCTTCAAACGTTTTAATCGTCGGCGAATAGCAGCACCCAAGATTCGAGCATTTGTGGTAATTCGCCTACACAGAACAAGAAAAGTAGCGGATCTAGGATTGTTCCTTCAGGAACTCCATTCATCACAGGTTTTCACCCAGACAGTACTCCATTAACCCTCACTCTGCCTTTTGTGGCACAGAAAGTCGCTAATTCAGGCTTGCAATGCAGCACTGAACCCGGAAGAGCAGAGCTTTCCTAGTAATTTCACATGAGACACTTTAACGAATGCCTTACTGAACTCCATTCCTCGCGCGCGATGAGGTTTCTCAAACAGGAGTGGTCAGTACGAAAACTGTGTTGCAGTGGTGCCAAAAGACTAGTTGGTTCAACATGTTTAGGTGACTAATCATGAATTATTTTTTCTAAAACCATAATAACTATGCTAGTTAGACTCACAGGGTGATAGTTAGCCACCAACCGCCAACTACTGGCCTTAAAAACTGGGCTGATTATAGCATTTTTCTAGTCTCTAGGGAGGCGAGTCTGAGATAGGGATATATATATATATATATATATATATAATATATATATATATATATATATATATATAAGATCAGTAACCTCAGCTACAATGCCCGCTGGCAGCCACAGCAGTCTGGAGTGTAACTTATCAGGACCCGGGGATTCTCCAGGTTTAAGATTAACTAACAACTGTAAGGCCATTTCCTTTTTTATGAACACTATACATTGGTGGGACAATACTGAAATCATTTGAGAACTTCACCTTCATGATCTACAGAGAAGACGTTACTAAGGTAATCCTACAATCAACTTTGAACAGATTAGATCCCGTAGGACTATCGAACTTTCCCCCCTTCACTAGGAAGGGAATTTCACGTTTTCTATGAGTCCTTCTGATAAATGCGAAATGTGTTTTAGGACAGTCTTGACAAGCATTAACAAGTTGTTTCTCGTAGTACACTTGAGACTGTGTGAAAAGGCTTTACGATTACGGACCTTACGGTACCTAGTTCTAAATGTTCCCAGCCCAACTCCTATAAACAAGTTCCATAGACGTTTCCTCATCCTTAACAGTCCCAGTATCTTCATTAAACCACGTGTACACAGGGCGATGTGAGGATCTTTTTTAACCCAATTTTCGCCAGACAATCAAACCAGCTTTTTTAATAAAAGCTTTTGTTAATAAACAGGAAGGCTACACTGGTACTTCCAATATATACCCTCCTAACTAATGAAAACAAGACAAATATATTTACCTAAGGGGCGACATGATCATAAGCCCCGCTTGACTATGTGATCCAACATCCAGTATCCAATATCATTTTACGAGATAATGTGAACCAACTGATTTCTTTGCGATCGCTTCTGGATCATGAGGAACGGTTCTAGGCCTTTGGTGCATTCCGATGCCGTACGTCTACCCACTCGCTTGCTGTAGCTGTGGTTAGCCTGACGGACTGTTAAGTGTTGATTAAATTTTTCCAGGGATTGTATGATTTTTCCAAGGACTGTGGTGCAGATGGATTCCTCAGGTGTCGTACCACCAAAGAGTTGGTCAGAATGGTTGCAAAAAGAAGATAGAAAAGACGTCTAGAGAAATCAGAGGAGAGGAAGAACGAACAAAAAGAAACAAAAAACGATAGGGAAGAGGAACAGAAGGGGAGAAACCCAGACAGATTCATGGGAAATAAGTGGTAGAGGGAATTTCGGTAAATAGTGTGAGAACATAGAATCAGAGGGAAGAGAAGGAGCAAGTGGGGTTATACGATGGGTTATGGGAATAGAGATAGTAGTACTACTGGCAGATGGTAACTGGAGATGTCTTAAGGAAGGATAAGGTTGAGTCAGGTCCACAATGCTGGTGGCGGTGTAGCAGATCCAGTAGTCGGTTGGCCGTGTTGGGTTGTGCGGAGTCGATAGGTCGTATTCACCTAGTCAGCATCCCAACCGGACGAGTGCAACAGTCCAACACCCTCTACAAGATACCGACATATGGAACAGCATCAGTCTCAGTAGGCAATGCGCTTCAGTAGCTGAAAGCCTGTAGACAGTAAAAATGTGACCAGACACGGGTTTTCACCCATTGAAAGAGCGATTATCCCTGAGTTACCGGGAGGACCGACACAGTGGCCGTTCGGCCGGATTCCACTGTTCCGATGACTAATTACTTGGTATTTTGTAAGCCATTATCAAGCCACCACGTAACCTACTACGGCCAAGAAAGTCAAGCTCTAGATCTTTCAGCCTAACCTCATAGGGTTTTGCTTCATTCACAAAACACCCTTCATTGCTCTCCTGTGGACTTTCTCCTGGAGGTTCACACCTCGTTTCAGAGATGGTGGCACAACGACTTTGTGGACCTCCAAGCGCGGTAGCATATAGGTGTTGAATACCTACATGAAGAGTTCCGGGGTGAGAGCACCTAGTTTTCTGCACATGGAGTGCAGTGCTGTGTATACTCGAAAGATACCTGCTGGATAGTCGGGGCCGGCATCTGGCTTGTCGATCAGCATCAGGTTTAGGTTTTTCTCTATGATCGCGTGAGAAAACTGCATGCCATAGAGAGAGCAAGATTCGAGTCGAGAGCGCCCAGATACTCGTTCAGGCGGTTGTTCGGGTTAAATACAAGCCCGCTGTTATTCACCCACTCTGCAGGCAATCTCTGCAATTACTTCGTAGTGCCGTGATTCTGTTTTGAATGTCGCAGCCCTCGATGGCTTGGCTTGACTTAAGATCCGATTCCCATTCGAAGGCTATCAACCGGCGAGGATAACACATCATCCAACATCCAACACCAATAGTAAAAGTGGAGGAAACATATAGTTTTTCAGCTCTCACTTCTACGTCTTGAGGCTCAGCCCTTTTTGTTACATTCCTTTGGTGGCCACTGTTTCGGTTTACCTACTTACAGACTTGAGGGTAATATCTGCACTTCTAAAGGTCTTCTCCTACAACTGGTAGGCTGGTATGCTTGAGGAGCAACCGCGCCGCTGGCAAAAGTGAATAGCCCTTTGCGATTCGTGTTTTTGTAGTCACCTTTAGGTAAATATTAGGCGTTATTTAGAAGGTAGCGCAAGAAATGGGGTGAGTAGAGAATGGGAAAAGGGGAGTGAAAAGCACTTGCACCATGCGATTGTTGCCTGTAATGTCATTCAGAAGGTGTGCATCGTACTGATGACACTAGGGTTGGGAAATGTAGATGTGGAAGAGTGTCTTTGACTGCTACTGGTGAATGCTGGTACCAAGCCGATTGCTCTCACTTGTTTTCCGGCATTCGTTTGGATGAGCCGACTCAAGAAACATCTTTGGAAAGGGAACAGTCTGAGGGAAGAAATACTTCTTTTCAGCGAGATCAAATACCTACATTAAGCTGGCTATCTGTTTCCAGTTACACCATCGAGGTATATCACAATAATCAAGCGTAGAATGACCGAGCCCATTTTGGTTCGTACTTTCGGAAAAAATCATTCACTGTAATGCATGCACTAGCACACAACCGAAGACGGAGTGAGATGAAATGCTTATGCCAGTGTCCTCTGTAGTCGTGTCCAGAGAGGTTGACTACCTAATCTTTTAAGTCGGTTAGTCCCTTCGATGAATTCCCATAATGCAATAAGAAGACGTAGGCTATCTGAGAAATGTGATTTATTCACGGGATACATTTCGAGCGGTCTGATCATACATTTACTCGTCAAGGCATTTATACGAAGGGTAAAAATAGGGTGGGCAGAGTTAATACATTAAGACGGTGCGAAATTTGGCAAACATGATGATGGTAGTGGGGAAGAATACGTTCTCAAGCCTTTCCTGGCATTGAAATGCACTGTCCCTCTTCAATACCAATACATTTCTCAAATCCCGCACTATTTTAATCCTGCGCGCCATATTTTCATCCTTCATTTGAATTCGGTTGACATACAAGCGTGTGACCAGATTTCTCGAGATATATTGCGCAAATATGTATCACATCACTAAATCTTTGTTCATTGAACTGCCACTCAATACTTGGGACAATGTGACACTGATAACGCAGTCGCGAAGTTGTAACCACCTGCACAAATAAAAAGTACAAAGCGGTTGAGCCGTGAAAACATTATATCTGACGCTGCGGAGTTACTTCAAAAATGAGGTGCATGGCACGGGACAGCCTCAAAAGAATAGTTCATTCTACAACGTTTCACTCAATTTATTCCCTTTACCGTTTCGGTAAAGCGAAGTCAGCTACTTCTTCATACTATGCGATGACCACATGGGATTTCGTCGCATGCTTCCAGCCGAGCACAGGGTGAGATATTTTTCACCACTCGCACGCAAGAATTTTTATACTTCTTAGAGACTGTCACGAAGATAGACCAATGGTTAGATTTTTAGCCCCGTATGCAGCTGAAATGCAGCCGATGGATAATAGTGGCTTGACAGTGTTCTGTAAATCTAGTCACTTATACGTTATAAGACCATCGTTAGGTCTCCTATATTTCGGATAATACAGATAAGGAACCTCAATGAAATTCCCCCATATTCTAAGCCTTAGTCCACGTGGTCATGTGGTGTAACACTTCCTATCAACTCCAAACGTGTTGTCCCTCCACAACAAAAATAGGGGGTGTAAGAGGTAGTAAAGGTGTGAAAGAAACAGGTGTGACTGAACTGTCTAAGGATTTGTGGTGTAGTAGGGAGTGATTTATCGACGATACAAGCATTTCTTTCACAACCAGCGCGAGTGTTAAGGTTGTAAAGTTACACACTTCTCCAGAATCAGTAGCCTAGGGTTCGACGAGATTCAATATTGATGCTGACCTTGATAGTCCAACTGGACTTGCTAAGCTGAAGGCACCCGGTCAAGCATTCTTTCCATTTGGAACGCTGTCATGCTACGTTGCACTCCTCGTGATCGGCCCTCTAGCCAGTTAGCTGGAACGCATCGGTATCGTGGGGCAACCTCGCGAATATGCCATTCCACCCGACTACGCTATTGTGTTCTTTCTCGGTCTCGTATTCGTGGGTATGTGAAAAGCACGAATAATTAGTGATCGGCCTCCGCGTCTGTCAAGTTCGCGCAGGAACAATTCCTAAATTGGTGGGCCCGACGTGATAGCGAATCCTGGCCGAGTACAAATCTTCAAAGGTCCTAGATACCAATACCCAAAGCTCTTTTTCCACTGCAAACGCTGTATGCTCTCTGCTGTTGAGCCTGTATTCGCGACTTCCTCTGACATAGGTGGGATGGTTTGTAGTTGTCAGAATTAGGAGCTAGCTGTTTTTGTTGATTTATTAGACTTACCACACAATGTATCAGCATTGTTTACTGGAGCCTATCGTAAAACCAACATAACAGGGTGGAAGGGGACATTGATAACTGAATCTTTGTTTGTCCAACACACAATGCAGCAACAACAATGACTCAGCACCTGTTCAGGATATATGGAAAATCTTACCAGCCATCTTACAAAGAAAAGAGGAAATTCGGACTATATAAAGGACATCTCAAAATTGTGTGGTCATCCTGATATGACTATGCACAATAAATTATGCCCGAAGCGTGATCGAGTGAGCAACACTGTTACACTATGTGACAAATCTAATAAACAGATAAAAATGGAATTACATTCTGTCACAGCGCACATGTTTTACTCTTATATTTATGAGAGCTAGCTGATGGTAGTCTGCTGATTTTGGAGTGGGGCCAAGTAAATAAATAGATATTTTGTTCTCAGATTATGAGTTTAACATGAAAGAAGACGGTGTGCAGGGATCAGCTAATCGATAACAACTAAAAAGTCAACGAAAGTTGAGTGGCCCTGAACTGCACAAAATGGAGAACTCTAAACTCTTTCATAACATCAGAAGTGTCTGCAAGTTGCGAAAAGAACAACGAAATGTCCCTTTTCAGTACCCGCACAGTGTTTACTAGTTTGGATTATCTCCGCCAAGCTTCCTCAACCTTGGGTGGTATCGAGATCACACAGTATTCGATGCCTACGTCACAATAAATAAATAAACAAATGTTTATTCTCACAAGTAGATGGCATATTCTACTCGTCTTTACAGCCCTATATTTCGTCAAACTAACCTTGTACTTTACTATCAGTTCAGACGTCTACTGCTTCAGTGATCAAAAAGAATTTACTCCATCTGTTTTTGCAATCAGCAGGTGTCCATATAATCATGTAATCTAGGTCAATATCCATGTTCAAGCGTTTCACACTCCTCAGGTGCTGCTGTTCCAAGAGATATAGATTTATGCCTCTAAGAACGGTTGTTTCGGTGCAAGAAATAAACATTAAAAGAACCACCGTCCAGTGGTGGTGAATTTTACACATGTTTAAAGTTCTTTAGACCCCACGTTAATCGTAATAATAGTAATAATGTTTATCCCGAATATACAGGCACACACCATTTTTGCAGGTGTGAACAAGTTTCTATATAACTTACATGTCTTCATGGAAGGCCATCTCAATCCCCACCTACTGTCACCAGAAGATATAGGCGCTGAAGTATGCAGCGTTGTCACGGAGATACGGTGGATGTCGACTGTTTCCCGTATGTCGAATTCACATGAGATGAAGTGTTGTGGAAACCCGTTGCATGGTACTGTTGTGAATAAATTGCCTTCGAGGTAATTAGGCAAAGTGATCCCCTGATTTAACTGTTTTTCTAGATTTTCGCTGCAATTATGTCCTTCAAGAAGTGTTGAACCAGTTATTGCGGTTGAGGCTTCGTGTGTTGTGGCGTTCAGGGTGTTGGTGAGCAGATAAGGTGATTGAGAGGCCGTACAAAAAATTGGGAGTCTGGGAAAAGCCAGCTGAAGACTTCTTGTAACAACTTCTGATGTCACGTATGATGTAATATTTCTAGTAAACTGAAAATTTTCGGTCGAATAATGAAGAGGATATTTTCGTCGAGTTGGTACTGAAAAGAGTAGAGAGAAGAAAGCGGGAGCAGAAATAGGAGTTTAGTGTACCATACAAGATAAACTGGGAACAAGTACCTATGTTTTTGGAGTTATTCGAACTACATATACACCCCACTTTATGCATATGAGAACAACTCTTCTATTTTTCTTACTCAAAGTTCAAACAGCTTCTTAAATGTGAAGTGTTTGGTAGTAAACGTAAAGGGAAAACTGATCATAAACTAGGTATATTTGGACTTTTCTCACTGCACAGTGCAGGCGGATGAATTAGCAGTTAAACACTTTTCATGAGAGTTCGTGAGTTCACTATGGCAAAAGGTAATTTAGATTTGGGATCACCTTACTGCATAGGCTTGGGGGTCCTAGTACATTTCCATTACCCCATGGAGCATAGATGGTGGCTTACCGGGTGATAGACTGATCGAGTTTGGGCAACTTATTAAGCGGGAAGAGAGAAACAGGTAACGAACCTGCAGTATTTATTACCTCAGAAAGCCTATTCCAGGTGTGAAAGAGTTCACCGAAGAGGAAATTGCCCCGCAAGTTGATCTTACTCCACCAGGGTTCGGCCAAAAGTTTATGGTTACATGTATTTAACGTGGACGTTACAGCCATTTTGAGTTCTGGGCCACGTGATTCCATGTGCTTATAAAGTAAGTCGTCTCTCCCAAAGAGGTCCCTGTCCAAGCATGTTATATAAAGAGATGTAGTCCAGGGCGCAGTCAGCGCTTGGTGTTCCTAACGCGAAGTACGCTTTACCCGCCCCCAATCTTTAGTTTGTGGCCCATATGAGCCTCAATAACAACAAACGGGCATCGTTTTAAGCTTGGGTGGATGCATACTTTGTAGAGTAAGACTCCTGGCTGAGTACTGTAAAATTTAAGGATGATACATCCAATGAGTCTACATGACTTAGATCTGATACAGGCTGTTTGTTCAGAGAGTGTTACGTCACTTGAGTATCTAAGACCTAGATAAGGTACTGCAGAACATCTGGGTAGCTTCTGTGCACAAGCTTCGGGGAATACATACAGGTTATCGGTATCAATGGTAATCCAACCAAATTTATCATTAGTGAACTTGGGAAGGGACTCGTCTCGCCATTTAGCAACATTACTTAATCTTGTTGAGCGGTAGACAGAGTGCTGCTTAGTTCATGAGTGTGATAGAAGTACACAACCTTTAGATCATCGGCGTGTAGGAATGTTCCCCTGCAGTGAAGCACTTGCACATGCTGCAAATATAGGTCACAAATAACAGAGGCCCAGGGACACTACTCCACTAGTTATGTGCCAAGGTTTAGACTGCATGGGACTAACTTCAACGATTTGACTGCAGCCACTAAGGGGTGACTTTAGCCGACAAAGTAACGGGCCGTGAGTACCAGCTGATTGTAGCTAGTCAAAATGCATGCTATGTGGCACCCCGTCAGATGCCTTTGATACATCGAAGTATAGGACAATGATGATTTCACGTGCCTCGCGGCTGCTGGTGATAAGGCTGAAGAAATCGAAATGCTAAGTGGCGTAAGGCTTGTTTTTAATGAAAGTGTGCCAAGACTGTGATATGGTTTTCGCCAAGTAGGTAATCAGAGATGCTGCTCTCAATCACTTTTCCCGTAATTCCAGAGACCACTGGGGTTATGTTGATAGGACTTTAGTTACTAGCACCGCTTTGTCAGCTGGATTGTTGCGAGGAACTGTGGAGCTAGTTTTCCACTCGCTGAAATAATCTCCACTTTCCGTTGATAGTGTGAATACCTTAAGCAATAACAGCGGTATATCATCACTATTTCTGATGACTGTTGAGTTTAGGCAACCTACCTCTTTACCTGTAGACAGCCTCAGGTTTTTCGCAGCTTCTGTGGTACTTTTGACAGTGAACACCACTTCAGCACATGAACATGTAGTAGGCGGACTGAAACCAGTTGGGTCAAAAGTATTATGATTGAAATTTGAGAAGGATTCGCTCAATAGTTCACTGATCCTGGGGAAACAGTTGAATATCATTCCACTATGTAATAATTGGGTTACATCTTTCGTTGTTTGCAAGTGTTTATTCAAAAGAGATGTCAAATTGTGCATTCTAGGACTACTTTCGAGAGGAACGATCTCTTTCTTTACCATGCGTCACGCATGTAATGTTTTAACAGGCTCGTCAGTTTTATTAATGGGGTGCGGTGATGTGAAATCTTTCGACTAGTAGTAGTGTGATGATAATCTTCGCATTTTATCGCGAAATATCTTGTGGATACATGGGTTTTGGCTTTTATTCACCTTAACTGTTTAAGCAGGAGCGGCTGTATCTACGTATGCCTTTATATTCATGTAGAAGATGGAAAGTGTGCCTGCTATTGAGGCTGCGGTAAACTAGTCATCCCTCGGAGGGCGACTAAGGGGCTCAATCAGCAGTTCCCATTCTGTAATCTCGGGGCTTGGAAGCGGAATGTTATTTGGGGATCTCTTGTCTGCTTCGTACAGAGGAAGAAGTGGTAACCAACAGAAAAATTTCCATGGTCATTGCCAAAGACTTCGCTGTTGGGGTGGATGGTGACAGGTTTTATTTCTCCTCCCACTGTGGTACTGCAAGGCACGACGTTTTCTTGCTAATGCATGTTTGATGGGCAGTGACACTGTTGGTGGCCTTTCCAAATGGCAGGTCGTGAGCCATGTCCACGATAGACTAGATGTCCTACTGCTTGTGGACTGCCTAGCCGGGATCATAACCTGCTGCTCACAGGCCATCTGGGCGGTGACCGACATTTGGTTCCGCTCTGTGGAAGGAAAAGTGAGCTCCAGATCAGACGACATTTTACGAGAACAGACTCTGATAACCCGACTTTTGATGTCAACAGATAGAAAGTGTGTGCGAAAAACTTGGGTTGTGCACACTTTGCCCGAAGATTTTGCTGTATTAGGGGTTTGAGATTGAAAGCTATCACTCACATAATTTCCAGCGCGAAGTTTCCGGGGAAAAGGAGGGACAAAAGATGTGATTTTATCCGTAGCTTGTTTTCCAGCGAACTTAACGCTGAAGTGGATCCCACAGACTGGTAGAACAAATGATACTTCTCAACTCGGCTACTGAAATAACTGGACAATGGCAGATAGAATCTGAGGACTAATAGTGCTACTTTTGTAACCGAAACAGCCTTGGCACAGTAGCTTCGCATTTGTTGCAACCCAACAAGAAACTAGCTCGCAGAGTATTCTAAATGCTCACCAATTAGTCATTAGGTTAGACGTGCGACAAAGATCCTGGATAGGGAGCATCTGACCTGAAAGCCATGACCAGCAACTATCATCTTCAATGACGACTGACTGCACTGGAGACGGAAATCCGCTAGGTCAGCTCCCATAGACTGGACTGAAATTTAGATATACGCTGAGTGGAAGCATGAGGCCCATGGCGATTGATCGCAGTCGTAACTCAAGATCCATCATGTTTTTCAACGTTGCAGGTGGTAACGCTTCACTTCTGGCTGACTAGGAGAGACGCAGTCTCACTCAATGGAAGGCTACACGCAGGCACGTGGGGGCCCAACACAAACGTCCAACCTTCGCACGTCTAGTCCCCAGAAAATTCCATCCTAAACACCACCTCCGACTCTTAGGAGCCACCTCGAAGTGCTTGACAATTTGGACATGTTCTACTGAGACTCAAATTGTATAGCTAAACCTAGGTTACTGGGCACCGGGGTTGTGAAGAACAGGCGTTTGTCCAAATGCGGGATCAGCCACAGCCACAAGGAAATACGTTCCCACATTCCATTCCGCTGAGTTATTGAACAGTCTATTCCTAGAAGCACTGGTGGCTCAAAAGGGAATGAGCTGGCTTATAACCTAAACCACTGGAGGCGTTTAGCAGAGGGGTTACACATCGATGATCCGTGAGCTTAAAACCCCGTTAACCTGCCAGGGCGCTTTCATGTTCTCCTTATCAGGACTTCTCGACCGACTCACAGGACACTTTGCTCCTAAGATGCGGTCACAGCAAATCTTTAGTCTCAGCACAGTGTATGAGGTGCATTCTCAGTGGACTATGAGATAGATGAGCTAGAAGGTAAAGGAAAGCTGAAAGGAAAAGCAAGCACATGCAAATGGCTAACCCACATTTACGAAAGTTTGCATTACAATGAACTAATTCTTCTCTTCTCTGTTGTAATGCACAGGATATCTAGAGCCAAAATCTTAAGGATTTAAGTTTCTCCAGAAGCGCATTTCCACTCCCAGAAAATTTGATTAAACTGGCCCATTAAGATAGATTACTTAGTATCATCGGTTTAATATATGGTCCCTGTAACTTTATGCATTCATACATTCACTCTTTGCGCCTATAGCAGAGTACGCAGCTCGTTCTCTAAAATACCTATGAGTGGGTAAGTGGTTGAGTAGTGTGCTGAGAAGCAGCTTTGTGGGAGACGTGACTTAGAGACGATATGGGTGGTGCTCATATCCTACTTGTTGGACCCCATCCAGCTGACAAAATTCGAACTAAGGAGCTGTAGGAACCGCCTCCTACTCCTCTCCATAGCTTGAAACGCGTGAGACTTTATTAATCCCAGTCAACACAGAAGGTGCTTGTTTGGGGTGAGAAGTTACTGCGATCCCTCCCTAGATAGTGTTCTGCTCCGCTCGCAAAGTGCCTCCACAGCTCTCGGGAAGAAACTGACACAATCCATTGTGGGAGCCCTAGATTTAGACCTCTTTCACGTCTCCATAATTAAGGATTTCAACACACATCAGCTACTCACTATGGATGGTCCAAAAAGGCTTCTGCGAGAATCTGGAGAATTTTTATGGCGGTTCCAGTGGATGAGCATGTCTCCTGGTGCAACTGATGGGGAGTCAACGTCAGGTCTTCCGGACCCAACTGCTTCCCTACTAATCAGATCACTGTAGTATACAATTCTTGTCTATAACCCGGTTGGATGCAGTGATTGCGTGCCGATTAAGTTCGATGTCTCAATATCCAAGTAACCTAACAATAGACGACTACTAGTCGGAAATTTGCGACCTGACTTTAAAGAGACAAAACGGGGTCTCTAATGTCGCACCTGGCTCAACTTGGGTGATCCATGAGATATAAATAATTGTATGGGACCGTTGAGGAACACAGTCTTTCAAACAATGAAAGATCACACATCTCCCCCACTTACCAATGAGAAGGTGCACTGGTAGTAGTTTAACTTTGGAGCTTGTTGGTTTAAGACGATAACCCGGCAAGCCCAATAAATGAGAAACATTAGGGACAACCTACTATACAAAATGAACTGAGAGTATGTGTAATGATTTATTTCACAAGCAACCACCTAGAAGAACTTGCAAATGTGATCACGTTTCTTTTTTTAACGATCCTGATCAGGTTGATGATTGAAGTGCTCTTGACTTGTTAGAATGAGCTATTCACAACCATTAACAAGGTGTGAATTTGTACTTTAGTTTCCTGTTTTCGCTTTTCTGGTTACACTTTAGTTGTTATGCTTGGTTAAAGAAAGCCAACTGTGCATTTATACAGCAAGGTAAAATAAATTACTCTTTTTGTCTTTTGTTTGATTTGAAGTAACTTTATGATTGGATTCACTTGTACGTATCACACTTAACTAGTTCATTATTTTAAGTTAAGTCAGTAGAGTTTAGAAATCATATAACACGTGCTGGGAAAACTTCTTCAAATAGAATGAAGCTTTTCTAATCATTTAAACCACGTTAAGTTCCATTTCCGTCACTGACTTTTGCCTGACATTTTAAGATCCGGAATTCCTGGCTTAACCAGAACAGTAACTTTCGAAACTATTGGTATTTTTGTGCAAAAAACAAACTTTTTACTTGGGAATCCAACTTTTCAACAAGCATACAACACTTTAACACTGTTTATAAGTGCTGTGCAAGTCTTTCGCATGTATATTGTTTTAATGATATCTTTAGTTTTAGTTAAACCAAAGCTGTACTCAAGACAGTAAATATGTCATATTAGGCTGCGTAAAACATTTTATGCATGACCCTTTGCACTCTTTATCTTTGAACAAAGAATGAATTTAGCGCACCGCTACGTTTACTCCTTATCATATTAAAATTGAAACCAATGTAAAAAGAAGGTTGAAGAATTACTACAATATAATACGTATATTATGTGCACATCCTGGCACCATGATGAGGATCTTACATTTATCTAACTAGGTCAGTAGGTTTTTCAGAACTGTTTGAGAAAGATTTGCGTCAATGATTTTGTTTTCCAACCTTTGAATATATTATCGTCGCCATAATGAATAATAGGAAATTCCTGACACTTGATATTTTGTTAGTGTTTGGAGGAGATAATAGTCGAATTGACGATTCTACTCTTAGTCTGCCACTCTGCATCGGCTTCCAGAAACAGTTTACCCTTTTATCTTTGTTTTTATGTTCTTTGTTATCAAGATATTATGTTAATAGTGTCTTACCGCACTTATTTTCATAAATCTGGTTTAAAAACGACAATTATATTTAACTGATTCGAACTTATTTCTGTCTGCGATGCATTGTGAATATTTGGTGCCCATAGGGGACTACAAGGTGTTTCATTTCACTGTTGTACCTTATGGTAATAACAATCCACTACAATTCTTCGTTCTGGCAGTCATAATCCTTTGTTGCTAGCAAAATATTTCTAAAATACCTTGAGTTCTGCCACAGATATCAAGTTGTGAATGTATTGATGTTTTTTATTTTTTCCTCATTCACTGTGAGTGCTCAACTAAGTAGGTAGTCAGCTAATAGAGATTATGTCAGAAACTACCTCGATAGAAATCGAATGGGTTAGTTTTGTCTTTTTTGGGGCAATGACAAAAATTTCTCTGTGTGGAACCATATTTAACTCGATTTGATTTTAGTCTAAATCACTGATTACAGACAACTACATTTACTCAAATATATTGTGAATAATTCATTTCCCTAGCAGCAATCCAACTCAAAATACAAAATGCACAAGCTCTTGTATTTATAACATGACATAAGTTTTTCATTACCGCTTTTAAATTCCTAAGTTTATCCATTTTCATTGTCATGCAAAGGTGATAAAAAAGTGTTAGAAACCTAGAGTGAAAGTAAATTTATTTATTTAATTCTGACGACGCAAAACAATATATCATTATCTCTGTTGAAAACAGTTGTGATGTTTTTAGATATCCGACACATGTTAAAGCAATAACAATCACTGACTGATAGCAACTAGTGGATCATATCAGCACTAGTTGAAGTGAAAATATTTAATCTGTTCCTAAAGTTGTAAAATTTAGATGGAATTTAGAAGCAGCTTAAAATTCTGAATATTCATAAGTCGTCTACGTACATTTCAAATGTTATCTATTAGGCTTCTGAAACTTTTAGAATTATGAAGGAAGCAAGATGGAAATGACAAGACTTCCTACTTCGTAGTGTGGGTGAGATATCCAGCTGCATAGTGAACATAAATTATACTATTCAATAGTTAACTATTGTCTTCCCTACAACAGTGTAGCATGGGCATTATAAACACAGGTCAACTGAAATGACTGTATGATGCATGCATAAATATCTAACACAAAATGAAGAATAGGGTGGAAACATGCTACAGGAATCAAGATGAAGAAATGGCTTAGGAAAACTAAAGAGTTCTGAAGTATATATGTGTAGAAAACTCAGTAGAGTATAATTTGCGGTTTGAAGTTGCAAAAAATAGCTTGTATTGTTATTTTCTTTTCACCTTCTAATGTTTTGGAGGTCAGAATCCTTAGCATTTTATCTCTTTGCTAAAATTTTTCTTGTTCACTTCAATACACCCTTACAATTTTTGTTTGTTGGTTTGAATGAAGTTATGAGATTCAGCAACTCCAGTTGTTACCTTTTCATTATTTAATAGGCATTCACTTTTAAATTGAATAACTTCTGAATCTCAGAGTTATGAGATTTAGTGTTTGAAGAATAAATTCGCCTACTAGTCGGCACATCTTGCAAATAAATAACTCTTCGATAACCTTCATAACTTGCTTTCGTTTCCTTTTTACACGATTTAACAAAGTCAGGTCAATGACCATCCTCTCCAATCAAAACATTTGCGGGGAAACTAATTAGAGTTTTGAGCGGTTAATGAAAATTTCGAAAACAAATGATATAATCTTGTTTCACACCATTTCTCGTTCCTGATTTAAGCAGATAATTTTCGAGCCCACAAAAACTTGTAAAAACTTGAGTATTTATTTATTCTCACGTTAATCTGATACCCTTTGTGATACTGTAGCACTAATTTGCTCTGACGTTTATTCCACAGTTCCTCTCAAAAAGTAATATCCAAATGGAAACTTTGGGATTCTTCTGTGATATTTGCTACACCTGCTGATCCATCATCTACCCTGAAGTACTATTTTAGCTGAATTAGGGCTAGGTTGATTAAAAATTAAATATAGTCAGGCCAAAATATGGCATCAGTCCGAAGACCCACTGGTTGTAGATTTGAACCATGAAAGGAAATTAAGACCTCCAGGTTGGGTCCCGCCTAACAATCGAAACTGATATTCAAAGGCTTTAAATGAAATGTCTCACATCCAAACGTAAGCGCATCTACACTAAATATTTATCGCATGTTGAAATTTGACCACTGACTGAACTTTATCATTGAACTTTCCAGGTAGAAACATCAAGTAACTATAGAAACAGGAGAAAGCTAGCAGGTAGTTGTAATTTTAGATGTGTGCTTCTGTTAACAGTTTATCTGATTATTATTATTATTTCTCCCTTGGGTTCCTAGTGGAACATATGGATTTACTAGCATGTCATCATTCCACTCTCTCCTCTGCAGTCTTTGTAACCTGGTTCTAAGAAAGCCCATAACCCTTCATTTCTTCCTTACACCATCTCCTCCATGTCACCCTCACCATGGAAGCCAAACTCGTCGTTTCTTATTTGGCTCCCACTTGACGGCCTATCCTAGTCTGGCACGTGGTGTCCTCAAACCGTCTTCTTTCTCAGTGTATGTCCTATCCAGTCCAATTCAATCTATCTCCAATTTCTTCTTCTGCATATTTTTTACACGATGGGTTATTGGTTAATTCGTTGCCAGCCAGAGTTTCTTCTTGCTCATTCTCATTATTCTGGTCATCTGATCTTCACTGTCAGTATCCAGTGAGCGTCGGTGGCAGCTGTTGATGAGTATCTGTAGTTCGTTGAAAACCTTTTCGTAACGCTGCCAAGTCTCTCAACCAACTTACTTGACTGAATAAGCGTTGAAAATCCGGATGTTGTTCGCGTTTTATGCCAACTGCGGTGCTTTGCAATGCAGTAGATCTCCACACTGATTATTTCAGATCAATAAGGGCCTGTCTTGCTGCGTTTCCTATCCTGGTCTTCACATTTTCATCTGTGCCGTCGCCGCTGCCACCTGCATTTCAAAGGATGCTGCCTTAGGCGGAAGGTGAAAGAGACAACTTCCTCCAGATTTCTACCGTTGATGGTGATTAGCGATTGTTGTTGGTTCATCACCTCTGTCTACTCTGTGCTCACCTTAAGGAAGTCCTGTCTTCGCTACCCTGTCCCTTCTGCCAACTTGTTGCTTTTTGCCTGTACATCTTCCAGTTGGTACGACATGAGATATTAGACATAAATCATCATCCGAGAAATCCAATTCTTCTTCCAGGTTTTATTCATCGGTCCAGCCAGTGTATCCCCCTCTTCTCAATCCTCACAGTTTGTTGCATGACCCAGTCCACCACAATCAGGAAGATCATCGGTGATAGTAGGTAGTCTTGTCTTACTCCCTCCTGTCTTCACCTTTAAAGGAGTCACTCAGCTTTCCATCGTGAATCACTTCGCATGTAGCTCCCATCATATAGCATATAACTACTGCTGAGTGAGGTTGATATAGGTTTGTGGCACTAAAACCGTAGTGTTGAAGCAGCAGCTGTCAAATTACTTCTCCGTCCATGACTCGATCGAAGCCCTTTTCAGTGTGGATGAAGTTGAGATAGAGAGTTAACTGCCATTCCATGCTATCTTCTATGATAGTGCGTAGCCTTGCAATTCGATTAACATATGATTTGTGTTTCCTGAAGCCAGCCAGCCAGCCAGCCAGCAGCCAGCCAGCCAGTCAGCCAGCATGTTCCGGTCACAAGTTTGAATGCAGAGCGTTTCTAAGTCTTCCCAGGATGATGCGGCATAATATTTACTTCATGACTCCACACCAGTTCTCGCAAACACTTAGGTCGCCCTTCTTTGCAAGTTTGATAAGGTAGCCCTTCTTCCAATCAATAGGCAGGTACCTTCCCTTCCTTCCAGACCTTCTGCAATAATGATGTGAGCATGTCCACTGTTGTCTCCGCGTCTGTTTTCAGTGCTTCTGATGGAATTCCATCTGGTCCTGCTGCTTTCCTGAATTCAGCAGTTTTATCGTAATCAGGACTTCACTTCTGCTTTTGTCAGAGGGTTTGTGTTCGCTGATAATCCTTTGGCTGCTGGTGATATTTCTGGACGAGTTGCAGGTGATGGTGTTGGTGGTGGTCGATTCAAGAGT